GATGTCATATGTGACAACCACTCTTCCTTTGTCACCAGCTGATTGGTGGCTGAGACAGACCTTCACCTGCTCCAGCCTTTGACTTACTGGCAGCTCATCATCCAGTGGAGGAGGAGCCAGGCTGGAGCTCAGACCTGATGGGTACCAGACAAATTTAACAACAGAAACCCTTTGAAAAGTGTGACCCTACATGTATTAGTATCCGTTGCTTGTCAGGACCTTTGCTCTGCTCCTGCTGCAGACAGATGTAGCATGCACCTCTTGATCCCCAGCAGACAGACAGCCCGATCAAAACGAGATCTTCATCGTCTCTTATTGGAAACCCATCAGTCAGGTTAGGCTTCGGATGAGATGCTGATGCTGTGCAAGCAAACAGAAAAAGAGACAACATTCAACATTTTATAATCTGTGTTGCACAAAACAGACATCTGCACATACAGTACTCAATACAGCCTCAATGCCACGTCGCATCGAGGCAGTGATTAAGGCAAAGGGATTCACAACCAAGTATTGAAGACTGACATATCGTTTTGAAAGTACCACATTTTGATTCATTTGTTGTGATCCTAATTTCTTTCTTTTTTCCTGCAAAAACTGAGAAGTAGTGCGGGCTGATTTCTTCACAGTATTCAAATTTTTTGAATTCTTGTTTTCGTGGGTTTCATGAGCTGGAAGCTAAAACTACGTAAAAACAAATAAAGTGCCACGTTGTTCTGATAATAAACAAAAAACCCACAGTATTTGAGTTTCCAGGATGACTCCCAGGAGGTGTCTGACCCTGGGAACTGCACAGAGGAGTCATTGCCTGCAGGTGCAGTGGCAAAAGATCACGACACTGCCTGCCGTCCTTCTCCGGGTTAGTATTGCAGAAAATTTGTAGAAAAAAATATATGGCAGTGAATAACAGTGTAACCATCTCGAGGTTGTATTCAGAACATTTTGGACTTGCTAATGGTGGGGAGATAGTCAGTAAATACATGAAATGATTTGAGTGAGGAGAAGCAGCTTTATACTTTATGGAAAATATTGCATATTTTGTGTTTTCCCCTTTGAAAAAACATATATATATCTTCACCACAGAGCTGTCAAGGCAGTAATGAGTAAGTAATAGAAGAAATGCTGTAATACAAAAGATAATTCATAACTGAACAGGAAATTGATGGGTGGATAAGTGATGTCTATTAAGGTTTTTGCTTTTTCTCTTACGTCAACTGGATGATGCTGCACGGAGAATTCAAGAGTTGCAGAGACAAGTTTTGTCTCTAGAAATGGAAATCCAGACAATTAAGAAGTGCCCTCCTGTGTGTGTGTATACATACGCACGCACGCACGTAGACACACACGCACACACACACACTGAAGAAAATAAGTGAACACGCTGCAACTTCGCAAGTTCTCCCACTTAGAAATCATGGAGGGGTCTGGAATTTTCATGTTAGGTGCATGTCCACTGTGAGAGACATAATCTAAAAAAATATCCGGAAATGATAATGTAAGATTTTTAAAATAATTTATTTGTGTGTTACTGCTGCAAATAAGTATTTGAACACCTGCCATCAGTTCTGGCCCTCAAAGACCTGTTAGGTCGTTTTCACACCTGATAGTCCGCTAGACTCGGTTCGGGACCAATATTCATGACCTTTTGTTTACATTTGAGCTGGTGCGTTTGCATTCACACTGCACTGTGCAGTCGAGTCAACCTGTTGAACCAACCTGTTCCCCCGCTCGCCTGTGGGGGCGCTGCACCAAGAACTACTGAAAGAAACGACACAAAAACCTCTGAAGACACGTCTTCTTCTTCTTCTGTAAATAAAAACAAAAACGAAGTGGCATCAAGTTTTAGCAGTTTTAGGAGTTATATTTTGTCATTTTTCAAAAATGGACTTAGCATGAGCAGAAGATGAGACAGAAGACCATGGAGAATATTGTTTTTCCACACTAGGCAGCTGACGGCTCCATATAAGGTCAGAGAAATGCGTGTTTGTTTGTCCTGTGGAGCGGGGCCCGGTCTGTTTACATTCACACTGTACTCGAACAGCGCTGGAGTTCTCTTCTACCGGACCGAGACCTAGGTTTTAGCCCAGGCCAGAGTTCGCCTTTTTGTTCCGTGACAGAGTTCGATGGCGCGTTCACACCTCCCTAAACGAACTGGACTTTCTAGGAAAACGAGCTAGAGTTTGATTAAAGCGGACTAAACAGGGCTGGTGTGAATGCACCCTTAGTCCGCCTCTAAAAAGTCCACCTCCACTCCACTGATTATTCTAAATTAGAAGCACCTGTTTGAGGTCGGTAGCTGCATAAAGACACCGGTCACACAATCAGTAAGACTCCAACTACTAACATGGCTAAGACCAAAGAGCTGTCCAAAGACACCAGAGACAAAATTGTAGACCTCCACTAGGCTGGAAAGGGCTACGGGGCAATTGCCAAGCAGCTTGGTGAAAAAAGATCAACTGTTGAAGCAATTATTAGAAAATGGAAGAAGCTAAACATGACTGTCAATCTCCATTGGACTGGGGCTCCATGCAAGATCTCACCTCGTTGCGTATCAATGATCCTAAGAAAAGTGAGGAATCAGGCCAGAACTACATGGGAGGAGCTGGTCAATGACCTGAAGAGAGCTGGCACCACTGGCTCCAAGGTTACTGTGGGTAATACCCTAAGACGTCATAGTTTAAAATCATGCATGGCACGGAAGGTTCCCCTGCTTAAATCAGCACATGTCCAGGCCCGTCTTTAGTTTGACCATGACCTTTTGGATGATCCAGAGGAGTCATGGGAGAAAGTTATGTGGTCAGATGAGACCAAAATAGAACTTTTTGGTCTTAATTCCACTCGACGTGTTTGGAGGACGAAGAATGATGAGTACCATCCCAAAACACCATCCCTACTGTGAAGCATGGGGGTGGAAGCATCATGCTTTGGGGTGTTTTTCTGCTCATGGGACAGGACGACTGCACTGTATTAAGGAGAGGATGACCCACATTCAGTGACATGACATTCGGACGATGTTGTTTCAAGCACCTCAACAAGTTCGACGTGTTGCTGCTGCAGATCCACTCTCCGTGAAACAACGTCGACACACAGCTTTGGATTTGTTCACTTGTCTTTTAACAAGAAAGACATAATGTTCCTCAACAGGAGACCGCAACGACATGCTAGAATGCTAATGCTGCATGTAAGAGTTTTTAATATGTTATCATTTGAAACTGTTTCATGATTTCTGCACTTTGTGCATACGAAGCAAAGAAGTCTCTGGAGAATAAAGAACCATCAGTCCACGTCCGAGCTGATAGGAAGTCTTTGTCCTTACACAAGCTGTTTTTTCTTTGAAGTGTTTGTTCTTTTGTAAAACCAGAAATGTCAAGGTTTTACATATCAACTCATATCCCATCAATCTTACACTGTCATTGTTTCTTTTAAGCATTTAATCAAAATGTTCTAAGATCACTTTGCCCTCGTAATCTGCCTAATCAAGACGTCCAGTCTTTTCCTCCTTCCTGTGTGAACAATAAAAAGGAGAACAGATGTGGAAAACCTTCGGAGGTCACAGAAACCAGCCCTAGTGTTGGAACTGTGAATTTTACCTTTTTGCAAAAAGTTTCGCTGAAAATCTTAACTCTGTTTTTCCTGTGTGGTTCTTTATTTTTATAGGTACGGGAGAAATATCTAACACTGCACGTGCTGCAAGATTATAGCGCCGTGCTGAAACACGCTTAGGAACTTTAGTTCTGCTGCGCGTATTCTCTCGTTAATAAAATTCAATTCATGAATAAATAACCGAAACGGTACGCACGTGGACCGAACCGAACGTGCCGTACGGAAACGGTTCAATACACAATCTTCAAACTAAGAATAATGTTCTTTCTATATACCGTAATATTTCAATAATGGCAACGCGTCAATAAAAACCTCATGGTCTTCTGTTGACAGCAGAAGTCAATACATGCTTGGAAATTGATGCGACTGACTTTGGGAGTGTTGAAAGTTAAATATCTCCTCTTTGCACAGTTTAAAAACATAGAAATAGAATGAGGCTGTAAACAGCTGTAATTGTTGAAGTTTTAAACTGTATCCAATCAAACTGAACTGTGCTCACTCTCATCCATTATGCACCATATTTCCCAGTAGTATATAAACACTAAATCACAGTTTATTCTTTTTATCTTGTTATTGGACAAGAGGCACTTTCAGAGGGTGACACATGATTATTTATAATAATAGTACTAAGCTCCAGGAGATAAATCAGTTTGGGTTTGACAGTCAAATCTCTACTTTTCTGTTTGCTAAGGTGTGTTTGTACTGACAGTTCTTTTATGGACTGACATTCTGGTTCTCTTTATCATGACAGTAAATTTTACTGGAATAAACACAAATGTGTGCACACCGACCTCTTGAATGGGACCGCATTCAGCAAAGCTTTCTCCACATCAGCTACAGAGGCCCGGGCTAGTTCAGCCACAGTGCAGAGGCCTTGGGCGTAGAGCGCTCTGGCTCGAGTCGAGTTCAGAAGAGAAACCCCGACAAGATCGACGAGTTCCCTCTGGACTCCAAAGCTCAGCCTGGTCTGGTACTGAGACAAATAAGACTGTGTTGATAAGATGTTGATCCAGAGAAACTGCATGTGAGCCACAGGTTGATATCCAAGCTGCTTCTGACACTAAGACATAATGAACCATGTTACAGCAACTTGACATCTAGAATACATGACAAAATCATTCCTAATTCTGGAGTTACTGTTCTCCTCATTTACTGTATTCATGTTCAGAGTTTAAACCCAGAATATTAAACAGTGTAATGCTGCTGATTTCTGAAACATGTGCTTTGTGCAACACACAAGACAACACTCAGAAGTAAGTAGCTGCATATGTGGAAGCAGACTGCTGGAGAGACTGTAGCTGCCCACGGCTGCAGTTGTATTTAGATGCAGCAGCTCCCAAAGGAACCTCGTTGACCAGATCTTGTAGTTCAAGAGTGGTGAAAAAGCTGTGGAGAGATTTAAACGATGGTTCTTCAGTGGACATTTCCTCAGAGCAGGACTGGTTTATTTGATGTTCTGAGCCAAAGTAAATCTTCTTCACATAAAACAGTTTCAACAACACAGAACATGCTCACAAACTCTCTCAATGAGACAACAAGCAGCAGCTGGGTGAAATGTTACTAAATCATTTACTGTATGTGACGTGCCCCTGCGTCAATTATGTCCGTGTGTGTGTTTGTAATTAATGCTCCTTTTCTCTGCGCAGCTGATTGGCTGAGGGGGCTTCAAAAGACCAAGCTCCGCCTGCTGGACGAGCGAGGGAGGCCAGATGAGATGTTGGTCTGATGGTTCATGGTTCTTGTTCTCCAGCCTCACTCCAGCTCCGGCCACTGATTGTTGCACCTTGTCACAGTTGTTGTTGTTTGTTGTTGTTGTTGTTGAGCTGGTTGTTTTGGGGACTGGGGGTCACCTGTGTAGTCTAGGTTTTTACCAGTTTTTGGTTGTAGGGTTAGTCCCCGGGTTACAGGGCGAGGGGAGCAGCCAGAATCTGACGACCAGCTGCTGGTTGGTTCAGGGCTTCTCCCTCTTTTTGTTTGTTTTAACCAGGCCTCCCAGTCTGCATTTTAGTTCAGAAGATTTATTGACAATTAAAGCTTTGTCTAAACTGGAAAATCATCGGAGCTTCATATGTTGTGGGTCCTGCCCTCTCCTAGACTTGTCGGGACCATAACACTGTATACATATAAGAAACCATCTTTATTTAAACTAATCTAGAATCTGCTCAATACAATTTTCAATCACATATCACATGAACAAGCGAACCAGAAATGAGCAAAAATACCTTTATTTATACACAGGCCAAATATATGAATGGGTATGTAAATGACAAAATCACCTCTCGTTAACTTTTATTCATGACCTCGGTGGTCATTGATCCAGCAGAGAAACCAGTTGATCCACTATGAGAAGGTGATATTTATAAGGCTGAGCTGAATGCAGCTCCTCAGAATGAAGAAGTCTTTCAGATGAAAGACGAAACGTTTCTACAATTTCCAAAAAAGTTCATTCTGGTCCTCTGGACATTCAAAAAAAAAAAAAAACAAGGCAAATCAACAAAAAAATGTAGAAACGTTTCGTCTCTCATCCGAGAGACTTCCTCAGTCTGAGGAGCTGTATTCAGCTCAGTCTCTTAAATAGCACCGTCTCAGAGTGGATCAACCAGTTTTGCTGCTGACAACCAAAACCGGCTGATCACAGGCTCAAGAAGGACCATCAGCCTAACAATGGATCATTAGGAAGTCCAACATTTTACTGACCACATCAACTCTGTGGATAAATACATCAAGTTCACACGAGAAGATGTAAAAAATGGCAGGTTGGCTTTCTTGGACTGTGAGGTCTCAGTCTCTGATAGAGGACATTTGCAAACTGAGGTGTACTGCAAACCCACCCACACAGACCAGTATTTGCAGTTTGACTCCCATCACCCTTTGGAGCACAAGTTAGGAGTTATCAGGACTCTGTATCACAGAGCAGACAGCGTCCCCACTAGCTCAGGAGCCAGGCAGAAGGAGAAATCCCACACAAGACAGGCTCTAGAGCAATGTGGATATCCTAACTGGGCCTTCCTGAAAGCAGAGAAGAAACCCAAACAGGACTCCAGTCAGCCAACACGTAAAAAGGAGGAACCCAGACCCAGACCAGTGGTCATTCCATATGTTGAGGGAGTATCAGAGAAACTGAGACATTTATTTTCTAAACATAACGTCCCAGTGGCTTTTAAACCCCAAAATACATTACGGCAAAGACTGGTTCATCCCAAAGATCCAGTCCCCCGA